TTGGTGTTGCTTTTGTAAGAAGCATTTATTAGAAAGAACTCTTCATTAAAACACATGGGGACAAGAAAAAATAGAGGTTTTTTGATATTAATATGCGCTACAAAAAAAGTCTCCCTTGTGAGTTCCCAAGTAAAAAATTGAGGAGCCTGAAACAGTAAGCCGCAGTAAAGCAGGTTAACAAGCAGAAAACTTGTCATTCGACTTCCCTTATAATTTTTTACCGATTTACCGAAACGCGTCTGATCTAACTCATTAAATGTTTCATATTGATTATCTTTCCAAATACCTACCATCCCTTCATTTTCAGAGATTTTAAACCACATTTCTACGTTGCAAGCTTGCAGCTCAAAACCAAAGAATAACCTTTAACCAAAGCTTGAGGCTAAACCTAAGTTTAAATAATTTAAGTTAATGACTAAAATTACTTTTAGTATTGTTTTTTTACGGTATTAAACTGTTAAAACCACTTCGGATACGTTCTTTTTAACAGAATATATTTATAGCAAAATTTTTATAAGAACAATCTTTAAGCTTCAGCTACTTTTTTGCAAAAAGTGAAACTGTAAAGGAGCACCTATTAAGAAAGCCTCACCATTTTTTGTTTCAATTTCTACTTAGAAATTAGCCAAGTAGACTAAAATAGTATTCGCTTGGCAAGAAATGTTTGCCTTTTCAAAAAGAAGCTCTTACCGTCAGCGCAGTAAAAATTGCCAATATATAGTTGATGGAAATAAATGTGCTTATCTTATAACATTCATCGCAAACTTTTTTTGAAATTCGTTTTTAAAGTAAGACGTGTTTTAGGTGCTCTTTGAACTTCTTCTTGTCACCTTCACTGGCTTATTTGCATATTACTGCTATGAACCAGAAGCAGGAGCGTTTTGCAAGGTTTGTCGACAGGCCAGAGACGAGAGAGAAAAACCAACTGCTTGTGAAAGTTCATGTAGTAAGCAACAATCGATTCTCTCTGAAAGCTTTAATGAAAAGCCTTTAAACCTTTACCGTTACAACTATTTTTCATTGAAGCATCTGGAGTCAGAAACATTGTGGTTGTGTGCATTTTCGTACTATGTTTCGTCATCAACTTTTTTTGTCTGATTCGTCTATGGCAATTCCGGTTTTATCTAAAAGGACTATCGAGGTAATAACTTACTGTCTCTTCAATTGTTCTTTACCTGTGGTAATTTCCATGTAGTTTCTGTTTCTAAAGCAAAAGTATCTGTTGAAGAGTTTCTTGCAGTTACTTAAAATATAGAAAGCAACTGACAGTTACTGTTACAGACGTACGGTAGTTCGACCACCAATTTACAATATACCGAGCAGGCACTTTTTTGAAGAAACCTCTCTTCCCTCATATCAAGAATTGGAGCGAGAAGGCAGCGCGATACCTCGTAATTTGACGACACACCAAAACAGCAAAATCTACGCAATAAAATCTGAAGAGTCAGCACTACGTTGTTCGCCACCAACGTATTCAGAAATTTCAGTTCCCAACTTCTTCTCCGACGCACCACCAATTTATGATGAAGTAGTAGCAGTAGAAGCAGTGCAATCTCCTCATACCTCAAATATTTCTTTAAGTAGACACTTTATAGCTCATTTGTGACCCTTTAAAACAGTAATTTCAGTTCTGCTGAAAATGTACCCTAGCTCAGTTACTATGCGTGAGTTTCTCAAAATCGTCTATTATGCCTTTCCTCTACTCCAAATGTTGGTCTTGAAAGACACTGTGAATGAGTTAATGAGGCCAACTGTTGCCGTGCGCAGTGTTTAAAATGAAATTTTGTTTTTTGAGCATATTTAAGAATTTTTTTGCTATTTTTGAACCCTTGTTTCTTTTTTTTTTTTTTTTTAAATGAAAGCCATTAATAGCAATATATGTACATATTTGTGTAAATACTGTAAACTAAGACGGAAAAAATTTTTTGCTTACAATCTGAGTAACTTTTGATTCAAGAACCTCCATCAACTATCTCTTTGTAAATTATTACTGCTCTGCTCTTCTTTCGTGCGAAAAGTGACCACAGTATTTTTGATTTCTGCTTGCCAACGAGAAATGACGTCGGCCTTACGCATAACATTAAACAAGCTTGAAAAAAAAAAGATAAAGTTCAAAGTATGGGTGAGAAGTATCCATAAGTTATTAATTTCAAAACTCGTATAAAAATTTACTGCCTCAAAGCAACAACTGTGAAAAAACCCTCAGTAAGATTTACGCTTAAAAGTTCTAAAATTTCATTGCTAAATTCTAATTTACCGTTAGAAAAAAACTAAATCCTTCCTTAGACGCCACCACAGTTAGAAGTTTGCCATTTTACAAAGATTCATCGTCTTCTGTAGATGTGGGCTAATCAAGACGATCCTGTCCCACTGGGGAGATTGGAAAGATGAATTTATAAAAGTGAGAGTAACAGCGACTGACCGAAAAGCATGAAAAATCATTACATGACATGACTGTTGCTGCCAGTAGCATCCAGGCTTCAAATCAGGTAGAATTTTGTCGAAATCATAATTTGACAGGGGTTACACCAATGAATGCGACAATAGTGGAGAGAAAATGACAACAATAAAAAGAAAGCCAGAGAAGCTAAGATTAAAATAAGCGACAATTAAGAAAGTCAAAAAGAAGAAACAATTGTTTACAAGTAGTAGTGAAAACAAAAAAGTAGACCGAAAGACTGTAAAATTATGCTGAAAAAATTACTGAAAAGGTGGAGGACAGAAATGATTGCTAGGAAAAGTTTTTCACTTGCTAAGTTAAGACGAAATTGCCAATTTATTACTATAAACATGATTTTGCGAAGTTTCGCATGCAACACTTGGTCCAATTGTCAAAATCACCGATGACAACAGAATTAATAAACTTAAGCTTTTTATCAACAACCTACCTTCGTTTCTTCCCTCCGCGGCCTCTGATCCCATTCTTTCGATTTATAAAAACTTTTATCTTTATATAATTTAATAGTATTGTGGCTTTGATAACGTGTGGAGTGACAATTGACAGTTCTGTTTTGCAACTGTACGCCTTTATCAATTGTTCGAAAGCTTTCAACTAGCTGTCGTGGTCTGCAGCTATTGCCGCAATTAGTTCCAGGACTGATGTCTGAAATTCATATCTAGAGAAGTCCAAAAATTGGTGGAAAAAATTACGAAAAAAGCAAGTGGAGGCATTATCGAAGCATATCCCGTTTCTAGAAAGCCTTTTTAAATGATTATTCCTTGGTTGTCTTATATGGTGAAGTAATAAACTTTACGTTCAAAACCAAGAGGTTGCGATTGAGCAATTCACTTTTAGGGCAATTAGAAAGTAATCAAAAAACAGCGAAATTGAAAAACAGGTTTGGACCAGAAAGGACTTTAGCCTGTTAGACTATCGCTTCTTAAAAGGCGCATTTATTAGAGCAAGTCACTAGAGGCGCACTTTTGTAAAACTGTCAAAAAGCGACAGTTAAAATAGCAGCTTAACACTGGATCCTCCAGAAGTTATGAAGCAAGTAGAAAAAGAAATTTATAACAGTGAGAGAAGCAGGGATCCGGAACCTCCCTGTACAAAAAATAAAAGTCACTGAGAACTGTAGAGATAACACGCCTACAGCATATACACCCAACCAGTGCGGAAGACTCGACCAAATTTTCCTTACACCCTCTAGCGGATCAGAGAAAGTTATCCTGCAGGAAATTAAACAGCTACCTGTCCAACTCAGCTAAAACCTTTTATCTACACATGGAAAGCAAGCTCATTACTTCTGTTATCTAAAAATGTATCTAAGTTTTCCCTTTTTCTTCTAATATGATAATAGAGAGGTTTTATCCAAAATCTGAACATCGTCCTTTTCTCAGGCTATGCTTAGATAGCAGAGCTTTGCTGAAGTTTTTTGCTTCAGCAGCTCCAGCACATTTACGTAGCCATCATACAACGAGACATTAAGTAACCTTCTCTCATTCTTGCCTCAAAGATCTAATTTAATCCCATTCAGAAGCAAAGTATAAAGGCATCCCAAAAGCGGAACGTCACTGAGTAAACGAAGACAACCGGGGCCGAAAATTTAGGCAACACCCTATCAGTTTGGACCTCCTTGTTGAATGAACAACCACCATTACTTCTGAGCGTAACTGCGAAATGACAGAAATTTGATAAGCCAAATGAGTTGCCCCTTGTCATTCTCTTCTGTTTTCGGTCTAATAATTTCCATCATTTGTCGTTGTCTAATTCTACTTTTTCTCGTAAGTTACTTCTACAGAAACCTTTATCACATTTTACCCAACAACGGCTTGATCGCCTCTAAGTGACAGAGGAAGAATGCTTTTTTACAACTTCTATCGGCACTTGCTAATCAGTAGAACATAGGCTGCACCTTTTTGCAGTAAATCAGGTTTTTTCTTGTTCTTTCTATTTTCTCTCCTAGTTTTAACTTTCCATCTCGTTTTAATAGAATCGCGCTGTAGAGGATTTTTGGATTCGACCCTAAGAAGTCACTGATTAACAGATTATAAAAAAAGGTTTAGCTGGGATTTTCTTAGAATTAAACATCAATATTATCTTTTGTTATGTACTTCTCAATCAGTTTATGGAAAGTCCTATAATTTCCCTTTACTTCCATCGAGCATTTAGTTGTTTCTAATAGCCCAGTCTTCTCATATCTCTAACTTGTAAAGGCAATAAAAAAGCGCACAAAGAATTGAAGTTCTCTGTTTTCTGTTAGTAATTCGCTTTTTCAAGCGAAACTTTATAATTAATTTTTCTGATAAACGTCTGCCGCGAGTTAGACCACTTCCTCTGCGGCTGCACACCTTGTGCAACACCTAATTAGCAACACACTCTGTAGCTGTAAATTTGACTCGGAAGTACAAAAGCAGTGTGCTGATTCTCCTTCATTTTGTCTATTATTTGGATAATATTATTCTTCTGATACTTAGGTTTATGTTTTCTGCTCGACCCTATGTTTAGCTAATTGTCATTTAAGGGATCAGATAACAGGCAGATACCTGTAGATAACTAAATGGTATATATTCGAAGAGCACTTGAAATTGTGATCTGCTTATTTGCTTTCATTCGGCATTTAAGCGGAAATCTAGGGCCCCGATCTGGAAGCGTAAAAACGTTATCTGGAACGATAACTTATGATGAAGAATGGGGATACATGGAGACCAGGCGCGGTGGTCACTTGTTTTGGTGGATATATTTTGTAAATGACGGTAATGAGAGGCCAGTGATACTTTGGATAGAGGTTTCTTTTAGGCTAATGTTTCATTGATTATGTGCTGTGATTGTGAACAGTACTTATAAATTTTTAATTTTCTCTTCTTTTTTAGGGTGGTCCTGGGTCATCTAGTTCTGGGTTTGGCAATTTTGGGCAGGTCGGCCCAAAAGATTTTGCTGGAGAGGATCGGCAGTACACTTTAGTACCATTTAAAAATTCTTCTTTATATTTATTATATATTTCGCTATGTGCTCCTTCTTACTTTGATACTAACGAAGGAGCTTTTAGGCTACCTTGTGCCATTGTAATGTTATCTTGCATACACACACATTTTACGCACATATTTGACGTTAATCACTTTTTGGTTTATTAATGAAAGATTAGCTGGAGCTATAAATTGAAATAGTCTGATTGCAGCTACAAAACGCGGATTTGCTTTTCGTTGACGCTCCTGTAGGTACAGGCTTTAGCTACGTCGAAGACGATTTTGGTTTCAGCGATCAAGAAAATGATGTAGTAAAGGGTACATTTTGAATAAACACCAATCTTTTTCAGTCAGATAAACTTTGAATTAAAGGTATTTCCGTGATCAAAACAAGTTTAACACAATTTAATATGCTCTAGACTTGTGGTACTGGTGCAAAAATTTCTTTCTTCTTCACAGAAGGTTTTGGAATCGTCCACTCTTTATATTTGCTTTGTCTTATGGCAGCAAAATTGCTGTTCAACTGGCGGAGGTGGTTAGTAATGTAAGCTAATTATATTTTTTCATAAATGGCTTTTTCAACACTGGTTTTGACGAGGTAGTTTTGGGTTAAAGAAGTACAGTTCTTTACTGTTAACTTTAGTAAGGACATGTGCATTTGCTCTAGGTTGATCTAGCATTATTGTAGAAGTCGACAGAAATTCTAGTGAACTTTCGCGGTGTTACTATTGGTAACAGTTTAATGGACGGCGTGGACCTGTTGCTTATTTGGGGAGAATATTTGCATATGCTTGTAAAATTTATTTAAAATTCTTTTAAAGTAATTACTCTGTGAACAATTTCTGTTTTAAGATGAGCTCAACCTGTCGACTTATTTCCTGAATATGAACATTACAAGAAAATCATTTGTTTTTTAGTCTCTTGTTGACGATTACCAGAAAGGTCTAATTAACAGAAATGCCCAAAAATGTGAAGCCTTGAAAACTGTTGGTGTTTGGGAAAATGTTACTGACTGTTGGTTGTCTACCATTCATTCTATAGTGAAAGTATCAGGATTTCAATTTTTTGCTGCTTCGTTTCACTACAGTACAAGTACTACGGGGTCTATTTGAACTTGGTGACATTCTTAAAAAATTATTATTGGTTTACAATTTAGTATAGCGGAGATACAAGCATTTTCAACGTAATGAAGAAGCATCGCGAGGATCTTTGGTCTAGAAGTGCTATGGAGTTGGATAAACGTCTACAGATTCTTCGGAGAGATGTAGCTTTTGGTGAATATTTTTGCGTGTACCAATTTTGTTACCTGTGACTGCGCACTATTTCAATTTCAGCTAGTTACTTGGAGCTTTACGATCGAGTCTATACGAAAGAGGCAATGAAGCAGTACATGAATACTGTTGTTAGACAAAAACTTCAAGTCATTCCATCAAAAGTTTTTTTTGAAGGTGAGCAGTCTGATTAAAAGAATTATAAAAAGCTAAAAATTGGTGTCTAAGAGGAACCTATTTTGAAAATATTTGGAATATTGTTTTTTGTTGTACTGAGATTTAAAATTAAAAAGATAGTCATTTTTCAGTTATTAACCTACAAAACCGTAAAGAAACAGATATATTTCGAGAAATAAGTACTATTTAGAGGATATTTTTACTGTTAGTTTCTTCTAAATTAGCGTCATTTCAGGTCAGAGGAGCAAAGTTTTTCAGAAATTACATGCTGACTACTTAAAACCAAGTTATTTAGTTGGTATGTAGTTGTTTCAAAACTTAAACTTAGAGGCTGTGACCTGCGAAGTGCCAGAATTTTCGCTGATTTTACAATTGTATTGATGGTCGGAAACCTATTTGTAGGGGACAGTCACGAGATACTGTTAAGAGAGCAATTTAAAAATGTTGGGAGCGTCACCTTCAGGATTTGTCTAGGGTCTTTTAATTAGAAGAACAGGCGGAAATATTGAAGAAAATGAGTGGTCGGTGAAAATGAATTTTCAAAAAATGCTGGCAGTCACTTGTCCAATCCTTTTAAATTTCAAGAAAAAAAAACAGAGGTTACTAATCAGAGGTTAAAAGTGATACGGCGACGTACGTTATATGTTTGCTGAAAGGAGTTCTAGAAAGATGAAAATCACTGCAACGCATTATATCTAGCAGGAGGGATCTTGTACCAGCATTATAAAAAGATTTAATTGCATGAAATAGGACTAAAGCGTGTTTCTTGTGAAATTTCCGGATTATTAATTTCATAGCCCTTTCGTCTTGGCGTTGCATGGTTTTAAATTTTTAAGAATTAAAACGAAGGGGTTTTACGGGGAGGCTTGCCGTGTCATTAAGCTCATTTGGAGTGGCTTCTGCAGAGACGACGGGTTTCTGAAAATTTTTTTAGCTTCTTTTGGAAATTATAGTTTTGCAGACTCTAATGATAAAAAAAATTGCGTTGAGAACCGTCAGAGGTGTTCATTTTTTGAAAATGCAGAACAAAAAAAACTTCCTGAGAGAAAAATATTGAGGAGTGTTTTTTGATGCCTTAAATATACGTTAATGTGTTTCTTCTTTCCTTTTGCAAATATTTATTGAATACAAGTCTTTTCGTTAATGAATGCTATCAAGAAATTTATTTTCAGGCGGATCAAAATCAATTTTTTTAGATTTTTTGTTTTGCTTTGTGAATAAAGCAGGCATTAATTGAACAAACGCTGACAATTTTATAAGTTGATTTATCTTTGTAATGTAATGATTAGCTGGATGTTTCAGTTGATAAACTCCTCCAACGTGGAGTTAATGTTGCTATTTACGTCGGTCAACTGAATGTTGAAGCAATCGGTTAGTTAATTTACTGCTTATTAGTTTGATAAAAGTCGAATCACCGTGTTTTTTCCCCAAAGCTTTCCAGGGGCAATGAAATGGATGTTTCGGTTGGGATGGGATGGTATAAAAGAATTCAAGCAAATTCGGAGAGTAAGTTTTAAAGCTCACTGCAGTACGTGCGGTATCGACGGTTTCTACAAAGAATATAAAAATTTGCAGTTTTGGCAAATTTTAAATGCTGGGCATATGGTATGTTAGAATTTGTTGCAAGAGGTTGAAAATATTTCTTTTTTCTTGTCATAATCGATCAGCAACACTATTATTTACTTCTTTAAAAGTTATTTTGAACGTAAGAAATATGGAAAGAAATTATTGTAGGTCTTCTATGATGATCCAGCGTCTTCACTGTACATGGCACAGCACATTTTGACTTCTCAAATGAATGATTATCGCACGTGAAAGGCGCTTCAACTGAAATGAGATTCCTGTCGTAATGACGACGCTCGTTTTTATTTTACATTTTGAGCTTAAAAAATTAATGTTTTCCTGTTCTACTCTGGTAGCTAATCTTGTGAAATTTCTTGGTAATAAGTTGTATTTTTCTCTGAGATCTGTTACGAAAGCTTTGTTTGTTGGGGATGAAGGGTTCTTTTCAGTTTTCGCTGATTATTCTTGAGTGTGCATTTTTTTGAGCGGGCAACAGAATGGAAGGAGAAGGAGCAGAAGATACAGCAAAAGTAGCGGATCTTACCTTTTTTCTTCATTGTATTCTCATTGCAAAAGTTGTGATTTTAGGCTCTGATGTACTGTTGTTGACTTTGCCTGCTAATATCAAGGAAATTGGTGACTGGGATTTAAACTTTATTCGGGCACATTTCTCAAATATATTTTTATATGAACTACTTGAATAAAGTTGGGCATCCATTTGAATCTTTCTTGTTTATTCTGTTAGAGCACAAAATATATTTTAGCTGCTTCTTCCATAAATCGCAGTCGTAAAGAGGATCAGTCATCAGCCTAGATTTTTAAATTTTCTGGGTTACTTCTACGGCAATGGTTTTAACATTGATAGTGAAACCATAACTTTTCTTTCTCTGAGTTTTTCACTTTTTCTGTTCTCGCACATAATTTCCGCTTTGAATAAGAAAAGTGATCGTAAACTGAATGGTTGCATTTAAAGCTGCTTGTGGTTCAGTATTACTTGGATAGTGATATGAGTGATTTGACTAGGCTTGAAAAACTAAAGCAGCAGCAGAGTACCGCCAAAAAACTGTAGTTTTCCGAGATTTCGCTATTGATTTATTCGGCCTTTTCGGCTTTGAACGAGAGGTTCGCAGGAAGCGGAACAAGTGTTTAAAAAACATCGATTGGCCGTGAAGAACGGTTGAAACGAAAAAGTATTTTCTTCAGTACATGAGACGGATGCGCAGAGCGAAATGAAAGGGGAGGGAATAAATCTAACTGTAATTTACAAACCAATTTCTAAGAGTGACTACCACAGTGCTAATATCTATTAATTTAGAAAGGTTAGTATTAGAAAATTGATTTACTGGATTAAGATGCTTGCTAGTTTATCATTATCAGGTTAAAGAATTTTTAGTTGCTGTCAGTGCAAACTTTTTGCTCTAGTGTGGAGCAGCGACTTTACCAGTAGTTTATTCTTTTGGCTTCTTTATTTACTGTTTTATATTGGGTGCGTGATCTTTGTGCTATAGCAGTTAGAAATGTTCGACATATACGAATCATACAGGGTTAAAAACTTCAGGTACAAGAGGAAACAATAGTTTAATAGTAACAAAAAGTTTGAAAGTGGACAAGTTTAAGTGCATTATAGTTCATTTTTATCTTTTTTGTCATTCCTTCATTGTTAATACAAGTCACCGTCAGCTGTACACAGTCATTGCTGTCACGTTGTCTAAAAGTTGAATAAGCTTAGCAAGAGTAGTTTATGTTTATAGTTAAATTCTGAGTGTCATTTATACAACCGTTATCTAAACAGCAATTAATGCTCAAAAAAAAAACAAAAGAAAAACTGCACGACTTTGAAGCACAAATAGGCTCTACAGCCGTTTACCGACACTGTCGTATCCGTAGCTGTGCGACATAGCTACGCATTCCGTAAATTCAAACTAGATAAAAGTTCAAAGTTAGAATTGCTAATGGCAACATAATTCTCCTATTTTGTAAATTATTAGTCCTTGTATCACAGAGAAGGCTGCATTATAAACTTCATTCTAGCATCAAGGTACTTTTAGTAAACAATTAATTCTGAGAATGGGAGTGAATTAAACAGTAATAAGAAGTTAATATTAGTAAAAAAATAAGACTTATGGACGGTTAGCAAAAGTCTTCAACTAAGTTTTTTTGTGCTAATACTAGTAAGAGAAACAGCTGGTTTGCTGGATTTCAACAATGAAACGTTTTTCAATAGTGTTGCAGAAAAATTTTTATCTTAACAATTTCAAAGGTGTCATACTGAAAATAAGTTGATCGTTAACACTTTTTCTTAACCTTCGTCTTGAGAGCTTTCTCAAGTAAAACAGTTGTGCAATTATTCTCAACAACAATCGAGTTATACGAGAACTCAAAAAAAAAAATTTTTTTCTTCTTGCAAACAGTTTTTACGTTATACAAGCGATAGTTTACTTTTACTTATGCAGTTAATGTTCTTTAGGTTTCAGTTGAATTATGTCCTAATTCCCTTTTCTTTTGCTTACCAAATGAATATAAATGCTGTTCAAATAGAACAGGTTAGTTTGCTTGCTTATCAACAGTTTATTTTTGCCTAAGGTGTGCTGCTCATATATCAGTTAAAAATATCTATTATTATTTTAACAGGAGATTATTTGAACTGAAAGAAAAATTAGCATCTTCTAGTTTATCGACGATAATAAATGATGCAAAAAGAATAAAAAACTTCAACAGCTAAAAAACAAAAGTTTAATAGAGATGTCTTGGGTTTAGGTGAGTATGCGTGCGTTGTGCTATAGCTTTTGCTTAAGTACAGTTTTTTTTTCCTGGAA